AGCCCGACTGAGCGGAAGGATGATGGCAGACGGGTAAGCCCCCGGTATTCACCGGCTAGGCAGGAAGCCAGGGAGGGGGATAGGAAGCAGCCGTGGCAGGGCGATTCTGGCGCCCATGGGCAGACGCATTTCAGGATCAGACCCCGTCTGTTGTGCAGGGAGAGTGTTAAACCCTGCACTTAGGGACCCGGGTTGGGACCCAGTGGAGAGGGCGGGCCCAGGTCCTTCCCCCCCCCCCACCTCCTCTGCATTTGTACGGCTGGGAACGCAGGTGCCGGCTGACACTGGAACCTAAGGAGATTAAAACGCCGCCCTTCTGAGGGCTAACCCCAAGGGGCAAGGACCCCATAACCCTAACCCCAAGCCAACGGTGGGTTCGGTGAGCCCCCCTGCTTGGCTGAGAGGGGGTGTTTGCACCCGTAAAACCCATCACACCGAGTTAATCTGTTATAGAAAAAAACAACAAATGGTCTGGTAGCACTATAAAGACTAACAAAACATGTAGACGGTATCATGAGCTTTCGTGGGCACAGCCCACTTCTTCAGATGACCGGAGTTATGAGTAGGGGATATGAAAACTCGAAATAAATAGGAGAGGGAGGAGGAAATAAAGGAAGGGGGGTGTGTGAGACAGAGCATCATTAAGTGTCTGGAGAATGGGTACTTAAACCTAAGTAGATCAAAATAAATAGATAGATGCTAAGACAGGAAGGTTACCACTCACAGAGCTGTTAGCACCTTTAGTGGTTATGAAAAGTAAGTAGTGTCCTAGCCAGCCCATATCACGATTGAGTCCATTAGCATGTGAATTGAATTTGTGGATGAAGTGAGATTCTAATCCTTCCCTATGTATTTGACTTGTGGCCTCTCACTCTCAGAGGCCTTAGGAGAAAAACCTATTCTTGCTTACAGACAACCCCCTAACCTGAAACACATTCTTTCTGATAACCATGCCACACAACCACATCACAAGCCTCCAGGAACTCAGCCCTGCAACCAGAAAAGATGCCAGCTCCTCCCAAATATCTACACTGATGAATTCATCACTGGAGCAAACAACATAAGCCACAAAATCAAAGGGTCTTTTGACTGTACATCTAGTAATTTGATCTATGCCATCAAATGACAACAGTGCCCCTCTGCTATATATATTGGACAAACTGGACGGTCTCTGTGGGAAAGAATCAATGGACACAAATTGGATATATGTAAAAGGAACACACAAAAACCAATTGAAGAACATTTCTGCTTGCGTAACCATGCTCTGAGGACACGTGCAGGTGGCGGTCTTGACACAAGCCTGCTCTTCAAGCCAAATCTACAGGGAAAACTTGGATTTACAGTACATACAAAAATTCAATTCACATGCTAATGGACTCAATGGAGATATAGGCTGGTGGGGACTCTACCACTGAAGGTGCTAACAGCTTTCTGAGCGGTATCCTTCCTGTCTCAGCAATCTATCTATTGACTTTGATCTTTATCTGCTTAGGTTTAAGTACCCATTCTCCAGATACTTAATGATGCCCTGTTCCCTGCACCCCCATCCCCCTTCCTCTTTCTTTTCTCTTCCCCTCTCCTATTTATTTCCAGTTTTCTTATCCCCTACTCATAACTCCGGTCATCTGAAGAAGTGGGCAGTGCCCACGAAAGCTCATGATACCATCTACATGTTTTGTTAGTCTATAAAGTGCTACCAGACCATTTGTTGTTGTTTTGTAACAGACTAACTCAGCTACCCCCTGAAGCTTAGAAATGAAAAGTTCTTTTCCCCCCATTCTTAATTCCTTGTCCTCCTGCATTTTCCATTTATAAAGGTGTGCAAACCTGGACAGTAAATTGTGCTCACTTCCTTCTAACACAAAGCTTTTAAAACTGCAAAGGCTGATATTTTTTCAGACTGAAAACTTAGGATGTATCAATGACACAGCTCAAGTATTAAATTCAGCCACAGTTGTCTTCAGCTGTCTTACTACTTCTATTTATCATTTATTTTTAAGTTTGTAGCTAGACAGTAATGTGTTTTCTTTTCATGGACTGAAGTGTTTTGGACTCTGGACTCAGATACGACAATGCATAAGATTCTGTCATCTCATCATTGTTCTAGAACACACGCTCCTTGTTTAGATAACCAGAAAGCACACAGGGAGATAGGAGGGAAGGCAGAACAGTTGTTTTAGAAAGTTTATTCATTCACAGAATGTATACAGAAGAGGGAAGGAGAACATGTGAAGGCTAAATCCTGCTTAAGAAGACCCTGATTAAAACATTTATTTTACTTCAAACAGAAACAAAGACAACTTCATCAAGGGCTCATGAATTCATCATAGTCCTGATTCACTGCAGAATAGTAATAGAAATGTAGCCATGTTAGTCTGGTCTAGCTGAAACAAAAAACAGGACTATGTAGCACTTTAAAGTGCTACATACTCCTGTTTTTTGTTTCTGATTCACGGCAGCTTAGATGGCTCTTCCTCTGTATCTATGTTGTATCTTAATAGTTTCTATTATTCCACTTTCAGTACTTAATTCCAGGCAGCCAGTGGCCTGCTTATGACTTCAGCACTACAACATTATGACTTCATGGAACGCTTTTTGTGTGTCATGAATATTAAAAATCTTTTTTGTTTGATTACAAACTGCTCCCTGGTGAGGTGAGAACTCCAGTTAATGTACTGAGACAATAGTGCTAAAGGAGCTTCCTCTGGGGGATCTATGAGTCATGCATTACAGGGGCACTTACCATGTCTAAACTATTCTATTTAAATATCTGAATTGAATGAACTAGTCAGGAAGGACTCAGAGGGGTAGCCATGTTAGTCTGTAGTCAAAAAAACCTGAAAAATAACAATGGTTCTGTAGTACCTTAGAGACTAATCAAAAATATACAAGCTTCAGGGGGTAGCCAAGTTACTCTGTACAGGATAAATTTAAAAAACAACAAATAGTCAGGAAGCACTTTAAAGACTAACAAAACATGTAAATGGTATCATGAGCTTTTGTGGGCACAGGCCACTTCTTCAAATGACCAGGGTGTTGCATGTCTAGAACTAAAACAAAGAAGGGGGGAGGGGGGAGAGAAGGAAAAAAAACGGGAGGGGGGAACAAGAAGAGGTAGTGGGTAAAAAAATATCAAGGGCAAAGCCGAGCTGGAATGTAACAGGAAAAACAAATAGTCTGTAACAGTGGTGGCCAGCCCATTACAGGCGAAGAGCCAAAATAGTGGAGGACAAAAAAAGTTGTCGAGCCCAAAGGGGGAAAAAAAAGCCTCAGCTGCCGCATTTGATCAAGCAAAAAAAAAAAAAAATGAAAACTCCGGTTTGGCTTTTTGGCCACATCAGGCTTCTTTCAGCCAGTGCCATCTTGCCAGAGCCATTTTGCTTCGCTGCTCCGGACAGCTCCCCTGCACCAGATGAGCACGGAGGCCCTTTGTAGGGGCGCAGAGGAGGTTTTGTGAGCCCCGGGGTACGCTGTGATGAAGAGCCTCATGCTTCTTCAGATGAAGTGGGTAATGCCCACAAAAGCCCGTGATATTATCTATATATTTTGGTTGATCTCTAAGATGCTACAGGACCATTGTTGTTTTTTAAGTTTTTTTAGTCAGGAAGGAGTCTTAAGGGTGTGTCTATACAGCAAAGTTATTTCGGAATAACGGCCACTATTCTGAAATAAACTTGCGAGCGTCTACACAACAAAACTGCTATTTTGAAATAATTTTGAAATAGCGGACAGCTTATTTCGAGTTCTGTGACCACATTTTATGAGGAATAGCTACTATTCCAAAATAAATATTTGGGAATAGGGGCAATTTTGAAATACGAAGCCTCGAGCCCTTCCCAGGGTGCTCTGCTGGCTACTCTGTCCACACACAGGAAAACTCTATTCCTTCCTCCCCCTCCCCCCACTGGAGCCCTTTAAGTTGCAGACAGGGTTTGTGGCTCACAGAGGGCCTGACAGCCCTGAGCCACCCTGCAGTCTAATGATGCCATCCAGCTCTCCACTGCTCCCAGGGAGCATTCAGACAGCTCCCAGGAGCCTGCCAGGGGCCGCAAAAGATGAGCACCTTTCCAGTCTGGTGTGGAGATCCTGGACCTTATTGAAGTTTGGGGAGATGAGACCACCCTCTAGGATGTCCGCACCAGATGCAGGAACACGGTCGTCTATGGCTGGATGGCAGACAGCTTGGCATCTAAAGCTTGGCATCTAAAGGCCACATCCGCAGCCCAGAACAGGTGCAGATGAAGGTTAAAGAGTTCCGCCAGGCTTATGCCAGGGCCAAGGAGGGCAGAGCCCCAAAGATGTCCTTATTTCAAGGACCTGGACCACATCCTGGGGGGCAGGTTAATCCCTTCCTCCCCCAGTTATAGACTCCGGGCTAGAAATGCCTGTCATCGTCCTTGTAGGACCCGGACAAGGCCAGCCTCAGCACACAGCTGACCCAGGAGCCCCGAAGCCTCCCTGTAGACATGTCCCAGGCATCGTCTGAAGCCAGGAAAGGTACATCATGTGAGTGCCATCACTTTCCCTTCATACAGGGGATGGAGGGGATGGCCGGGTGGGGTGGAGCTGGACACTCAAAGCTTGGTTCTTGCTGGTTGTGGATCATACAGCAGTCTGTGCACGTGGGAGCATGTGCCGTGCCATTCCTGGGCACGCGGCCCCAGGAGGCTATTAGGCACAGGGTGTTTGGAGAGCCCTGCCAGGTCCTGACCCAAGAGTGGGACACCCTTCCTCCATAAGCCGCCTTAAGAAGGAGGCAGGGGACATCGACACACCCATACACTCAGCAGTCCCGCACACGGCACACAGGTATGCCCACAGTCTTGTGTCAGCCCCACTTCCAGAGACATCTGGAGCCACTGGCCAGAGCACACGTGGCTTGGCTCCAAGCACATTCCTGTGACAGAGCTGAGAACTGTCGCTCTCAGCTCGCAGACAGGGGCTGGGCATCAGGCACTGTATCCCTGGGATGACTGACCATCTCTCTTTGTTCTCCACAGCTGGACCAGCTGTGACTGGAGGCCTTCCAGACCCAAGGCTTCTGCAGGCGCACCTGTCCCATGGATGACTATCAGAGGCAGCACCTGGCAGCACTCTGGGCCCTGCACCAAACCATCCACAGCTGGGTGAAGGAGGACCTGCAGCTATGGCAGGAGAGCTGGTGGGAGCTGCTTGTGCAGGGCCACTCCCTATGTGATGATGTGCACTCCCTTGTGCAGAGCATGCTACCTCCTCCTGCTCCAGCCTCTGCTCCATCTCCTGTTGTCTTTCCTGCTCCCCCACTTCCTCTCCCCCTCCCGTTTCTCCCTTCACCTCCTCCTCCCCCTCCAGTGGACGCCAAGGCCCCCGCACTCATGGCAGTGGGATCCACAGAGCCCAGCATCACTTCCAGCCCTAAGCCTCTTCTCCCCCTTTTTCTCCCTTCCAACTCCCTCCGCCAAGATTTTGAACACCCCCCTTCTTCCACCCTCTTTCCTCCCCTCTCCCAGATTCTTTCTCCAGCCTCTCCCTAGTTTCTTTGACCCCACAGTTATGTAAAACACAGAGCGTTTAGTTTTAACAAAAAAAGTGTCTTTATTTTTTTCATCAGGAAAGGGGGGAAGGGAGGGGTAAGTGGAGGGACTTCAGAGAGAGGTGAAGCAGAAGCCCCCAGTGGGACAGACCAGCAGAGAGTGTCACTGGTCCCCCGGGGAGAAGCTCTCCCTCAGGACCTGCCAGATGCACACGGCCCCCTGATGGGCCTGCCAGCAACTGTGCATGGCTGCTCATAGGCCCTGCTTAAGCAGTCAGCTTCCGCCCCACCAGCCTGGCAGGAAGGCCTCCCCTTTCCTTTCACACACATTGTGCAGAACACAGCATGCAGCCACCACATGTGGGATGTTGTGCTCCCCGAGGTCCAGGCGGGTGAGGAGGCATCTAAAATGTGCCTTCAAGCTGCCAAAGGCACCCTCAACAATCATGTGGGCCCTTCTCAGCCTGGCATTAAATGCCTGTTGTGAGGGGTTGAGGTGGCTGGTTGTGACGGACCGGGCCGTGTCTGGGCACAGCTGAGTGCGTCCGCTCAGGGCGAATTGCTCAAATCCGGGGTTCCTTACAGCCCCCGACTGGCGACCTCTCCACACAGGCCAAAAACCAGTCTCACAGAGCGCTTCAGCTGCCTGCCTGAAGCCTCCCGAGCAAAACCCCTCCGACACCCCAGCAATATCCGTGCCCCAGATGGCCCCGGGCCTCATACACAGGTGGGGGGTCCTAGCACCCAATCCCACCTACCCCGAACAAGTTCTGTCCGGTTCCAAGAAACCAGCCTTTCTTTGACCCCACAGTTATGTAAAACACAGAGCGTTTAGTTTTAACAAAAAAAGTGTCTTTATTTTTTTCATCAGGAAAGGGGGGAAGGGAGGGGTAAGTGGAGGGACTTCAGAGAGAGGTGAAGCAGAAGCCCCCAGTGGGACAGACCAGCAGAGAGTGTCACTGGTCCCCCGGGGAGAAGCTCTCCCTCAGGACCTGCCAGATGCACACGGCCCCCTGATGGGCCTGCCAGCAACTGTGCATGGCTGCTCATAGGCCCTGCTTAAGCAGTCAGCTTCCGCCCCACCAGCCTGGCAGGAAGGCCTCCCCTTTCCTTTCACACACATTGTGCAGAACACAGCATGCAGCCACCACATGTGGGATGTTGTGCTCCCCGAGGTCCAGGCGGGTGAGGAGGCATCTAAAATGTGCCTTCAAGCTGCCAAAGGCACCCTCAACAATCATGTGGGCCCTTCTCAGCCTGGCATTAAATGCCTGTTGTGAGGGGTTGAGGTGGCTGGTTGTGACGGACCGGGCCGTGTCTGGGCACAGCTGAGTGCGTCCGCTCAGGGCGAATTGCTCAAATCCGGGGTTCCTTACAGCCCCCGACTGGCGACCTCTCCACACAGGCCAAAAACCAGTCTCACAGAGCGCTTCAGCTGCCTGCCTGAAGCCTCCCGAGCAAAACCCCTCCGACACCCCAGCAATATCCGTGCCCCAGATGGCCCCGGGCCTCATACACAGGTGGGGGGTCCTAGCACCCAATCCCACCTACCCCGAACAAGTTCTGTCCGGTTCCAAGAAACCAGCCA